TACGCTTCAAAATATCTCACACGTAATCAGTTACTGATTTTCACAGACTTAAGAAGCTTGCACAAGTGACCTCGAAGATAGCAGGAAACGTGGCTATGCCGATGAAGACTAGACTAGCTTGTATTGTGTGGAATGTGTAGAAGCAGGAGAAGTCCTCATTACATTCATTAAATGTTGGTGGTCAAAGCCCAGTGTGCAGAGGTTAATATACCTACGAACAGAGTCATCAAATAACAATGATGATAACAAACAGCGTCAGATACATAGCAGTGTTTATTAGGTCATCAAGAACAATGGTCGCGTGAGCAATAAGGTCCATTTCGGGCCGCAAAGTGTGGTGAACACAACATTGGCGACTTGTGTGTCATTTTATGGAAGTTGACTTACAAAGTATCAGCCATACTCTCTTTGTTCCTACCCATCAGACTCCAATGATAAAGCAATGTCACGAAAACCGGAGGTGGGCCCGAAAATAACCCCTCTCCTCTAATTCCTACTGCCACATCCCATTATGTGCCCATAGGTACTTGTCAGGTCACGGTAAACAGTGAAATTCTTAGGCTGGTATGCCAATTCTGCAAACATGTGCTGAACCTTCTGCCAAACAGAAGAGATTAGGATGAAACCATTCAACGGATCGATAAGGCACGAGTGGCCTTCATCAAACCTTTCGAGATCTGAAATCGGCACGAAAGCAATCTAGGCCGACGCAGGGAATGTAAAAGGGTCCCTGTCAACCATCTAAAACATGCTTGCGACCATAACAGAACTCTACAATGCACCTTGATGCGAATAGCTGACAAATGCGGCCAAACCATAATCAGAACGCAGAGTTATTGGGCCTCATGCCTGAATGATGCCCACTGCGAAATCATTTATGAATGAGGACGACAAAGACCTCTATAGCAATGTCAAGGCGACTTTTCTGTGGTAAATTCAGCATTCCTTTTTATCGCCCTTAAAGACCCGCAAACGACTGACCGAGCCAAACAATCGGGAACGAGTTCATATCCAAATATTTGTTGAACCACCTTATAGGGCCAGATTACCAGTGCCGACACGAAACTTGAGCGATTGATCGGAAATTTCGTTACTACAGGGGCCTGAGTTCCCTATCGTGCGTTCAGCTGGCGTCAGTGCAAAATGCGCTCCGTATAAGATAAAAGCTACCAAAGACGAGTCATTTAAGTCGCAAAACGTATGGCATGATGATAGCAGTCGTCAAATGAAACCTAAAACTCGCGGTTATAGGAAAAAACGACGAGATTTGCTTTTTTGAGGCCCCCGGGACATACAAGCTTAAAGAAGCACAAAGGAAGTAGGGCAAATAATATAAATCGACCAACAAAATCATAGGGGCGCATAAGTATTAATTTCGAAAGCGTACAGCAACGTGAAGAAGCTAGTAGAAAAAGGCTTCCCTTCGTTTGATAAAAGGGTTAAATTATTAAATTATCACCACGAAGCAATCAGAAAGGAAATGCGTGAGACGACCTAGCGAACAGTTTATTTACACGAAGAGACGCGGAGAAACAAAACCCGAAAGTAAGGCTGTGGGCACTGGCCTTACAATTCGTTGAAGCGTCGGTCCCTCCAACCAGTGCATGCCGTCCGTAAGCAAACAGCTCGTTTTAGCATTACGTCAGCATATTCCGAAAACTTTTATGCCATGGAAATAAGTGCCCACTGATTGACAGGCAATAAAGTGACCCCGATAGTTGTTGGTCCACACCATGACTAGTATTGGTCGACGAGGGACGAAGCTGGCAGACTGCATGTGCGTGCGTGCGTACGCGACAGCACCATTGGCGTGGTGTGAGATGTGCGCGCGACGGCCTAAAAAAAGTGCTACAGGGTCTTCTACTGCTCACTATTCTGTAGCTATCATTGTCAGGCGGAAAACAGACAGACTAGCACAGCTGATGGTCCTAGCCCTACGAATAACAGTGCTACTCGCAACGTCATTTCCGGTTTGGGTTACTCGAGAGTAGGAGGTACTTTGACGTGAAGAGGATTCTACTTACTTACGCATTTTTGCCCTCGCTTGAATTAGCGTCTGACTGTATAAGTGTGTCTAAGAGTTAAAAAGACCTTTTAGAAATCACTTTGTGTGAACAGTCAAGGATGAAGAATGTAAAGAAAACGTTGTATTAGTGTCGTCAGTTTTCCCGTCGGAGTTCGGATAGGAGAGCGCGAATAACAGTTATGAGCGGGGTTTAGCGATTCTAAAGACCATCGTACCAGTATGCACTTGTACTTGATACAGCCTCTATAATGTCACAGATTATATCGCTCCACGTGTGAAGATTTGTGGTAGCGGATCTGGAAAGCCAACTAATTTTTGTTTCCAGCGACGGAGGCCAAAGATCGAAGGTCCAACAACCGCTTCCATGTTTTGACAAACTGGCTAGAGCCAGGTCTTTAGTCTCCCTTCTCTTTGACGCCTTCATGTGGGCAGCGGCGCCGGATCGAGGACAATATGAGAAACCTCGCGAGGCAGACGACGGAAAACGTATCCAAACCACCTAAGTCGTCTTTTTTAGATTTCCTGAGATATCTTTGTGATACCGTCGTAGCGAGTGCGAACTGTCTCATTTGAGACCCAGTAGGTGAACTTTACTGAAAGAATGATCCTCAGGCAGTGATGGTCAAATACCTCCAGTCTTCGCCCATCGTCCAGACGCATAGCCAAACATTCACGACCTTAGAGGAGGACTGACTGGACAGATACACGGTACACACGGATCTTAGTGGCGACGGAGATGCTGCATCGGATCCAAAGGCACTTTGTAAGAACGAATAAAACCCAGTGAGCAGCACCGACAGTCTGACTGCTGGCTACGTGACGCGTCCACAGGTGGTAGATAGTGGAACAGCCCCCAGTGAAGGTTAGCTGCGAAATAAGTAAGCTCCCGGGTCTGGCAAATAAGCAGTCGGGGACCAGCAGCGACAGTGTTACCAAGGCGCGAGGGGTTGAGTTTTGGCGAATCAACGGCCTTATGAAATGTCGAAAGTCCCAATGACGGCGCTGTGACATGGCGAACGTGAACCACCGCCGCTGCCTTGTAGTCAGGTTCTTGAGCCAAAGTGCTGGAGGAGACAACCTCGAACAAAAAATCCGCGCGGTTGTTGGGGACCCGCCTGTATGCGAAATTCCCAAGATTCCTCATGCAAAAAGTACCGATACGGAAAACAATGTCATCAATGTCATGTTATTTGAGGCTGTCTACTTCTTCGAGTTGACGACAATTAATACTTGGGAGTGCCTTTTCCTGGTCAGGGATGCAGCTCGACAACAATTTGTCTTCTCAGCATTTGTGGATAAGCCGACTGGTGTAGCAATCTTATTCAGTCGTGACTAGAGACTATAGACTAGAGATCAGTAAAGCTTGAGGCTAGTAAATCTCTATCGTCAGCGTAGTCAAAGACAGTCAGCTGGCGTCCGGGTAGGGCCCTTCCGAGAATCCAGTAAATGGCATAAAGTTATGGACGACAAGACACAACCTTGTCGAACCACAGACCGGATATCGAACAGTTAATAGAGGCTGTTAGGGACCAAAACTTGCGCAGTGGTTCAGTGATAGCAGGCCTTGATCATGACAATGATTTTGGCTGACATACCATCTAGTTTCGTTATTCACCAAAGTGACGCACGATCGACGGAATCGAACAGAGTTGCAAAGTAAACAGAGCCGACGGCCGTCGGTTGCCGGTAGGCATGGCGCGATTCCAGAATGCGCCTCAATGTGACTATCTGGTCTACACATTCCCACTTGGCTCGGAATCCGACTTGGCTAGGCCTCGTCCTAGTCTCGTACAGACTAGGATCGTCTGAGGGCGGTTAATCACAAGTCAAAAGGCGCGTCAATTGTGAGAACCTAACACTGCCTGTCGAAACAGGCAGAAGTATCGCTCTGCAAGGCAACCACGCGTGATAACTGCGGTACCACAAAAGGTGATGTATAGAGAAAGTAACGTTTCCGTCATCATCTAAGACGCATCAGCATGGGCGTCTCGTGAGAAAACTAAGGATGTTAATGCTTGAGAAAGACGATACTTCGTGGAGAATACATACTAGAAGTAAGGAAATTGTGTACATAGGCGGGGATGAATGCCTAATGGGTGATGTGGACAGGAGGGAAAGAAGAGAAAATGGACGTTTTCGCTACTACCGCGAAGTATTTGACCCATTTCCAGATTGTCCCTAGATACAGAATATTCAAGATCGCCTTGTTTTGGGTAACACGTTCACGGGCTAAGAATTATAAGCTGCCGGCGTCAGTATTGCATACTGTTAGCGACGGATTACTATCCGCACGAACATCCGCGACCAAAGAAATGCAAAAGGCTTGGGCAAGTGGAAAGTACTCGAGCTTCGGTCATTTTGTTGCATACAGGTTTCATAGCCTTGAAGTGCATTTTTTAAAGTACTTATAAACATTTTATGAAATTACTGGTTTCAATACGGTTTTCAACATGCTAAACGTAAT